TTCTCTAGGATCACGAATTATAGGCTCAATGTCCTTTATTTATGGCTAGAAACCAATTATGAGTGAGTACATCCCATGTTCCTCTTTTTGGGTCTGGCTTACCTCACTCAGGATAGTGTTTTCTATTTCCATCCATTTGTATGCAAAATTCAAGAAGTCCTTGTTTTTTACTGCTGAGTAGTATTCTAATATGTATATATTCCATACTTTCTTCATCCATTCTTCCATTGAAGGGCATCTAGGTTGTTTCCAGGTTCTGGCTATTACAAATAATGCTGCTATGAACATAGTTGAGCATATACTTTTGTTGTATGATAGGGCCTCTCTTGGGTATATTCCCAAGAGTGGTATTGCTGGGTCCAGGGGTAGGTTGATCCCGAATTTCCTGAGAAACCGCCACACTGCTTTCCAAAGTGGTTGCACAAGTTTGCATTCCCACCAGCAATGGATGAGTGTACCCCTTTCTCCACAACCAGTTTGAGTCATTTGAACCAAGCCATGGCACTGTAAATGGGAAATGTCTTTGACACAGGTATTTTGTTGGACTATCAGACTAGTCCGGTGCTTCGTCTCCTATATATGAACTAAGGGAAGGGTGGGCTAGCTAGGCACTTTCTACATGCCTTTTTAGTTCTAACAGTTTGGGTTCTAATTTCCATGACAGAACACTGGCAAGTCTTTATTGTCCCCTTGTGGGTGAAAGCTGAAGTTACTCTGAGTGTATTTGTGTGAGTTAAGATCAATCTGCCTATTCCAGCGAAAACTAAACCAGTTCAAACCAGCTGTTTGGTACTTTGCAGTGAAGTATCTAGATGCAAGAGTATTTTGACTACTGCCTGTGCTTTTTATTATGTTGATAATACTAAGACCCACAGCCTTTCTGAAAGAAAATAGTGCTTACACGCTCAATACGATCTGGAGCAAAGAAGAAATAAGATAGGAATTTCCCTAGTTCCCACCTACCATAGTTTTCTATTTTACCATAACATAAGCTTTTCAATAATTTTAACATACTTGAAATATACCATCAACAGAATTAATAGGTGAGAAATATGGAGAGGAATTATAAAAAGCAAGGATATGGATATTATCAAGGGTTTAAACCCACAATATAAAAATGACTCCCTCAAATTCCTTAAGAAACAAAAATGAGAACTGAACCTCAGAGATAGAGCATTTGCTTAGTAGGCATGACATGGATTCCATCCCCAGTGCAAAAACAAGACACAATAAGAAAGAAACAAAATGATGCCCCACATCCCAAATAAGCTAAGAAGTATAATGGTTCATTTACTTAAGAAAAATAAAAATGATCAGTTTATATCTGCACAGTTATTACTCTCAGATAATAAGCGCAAGTGCAAACATGAGTTTTTACTTTCATTGACAGAAGTGAGTATGGTTTGAGAAGATGATTTGTGTGGGTGTCTAAGAAAAATCAGTCTCTTATTCTACTAATGTTGATGTAATTTGGGACAACTTTCTAATGGACAATTTGCCATTACATATTAAAAGCCATAAAATATTCATATTCTTTGATCTAGAAGTGTTAACTCTAAGAAATAAGCACAGATATAAAGCTTATTATTAATAACCTTCTTATCCCCTTTAGCTTATAAAAGGACACAATCTGACTACAAGTCTTACAGTGCATTCTTCAAAAAGAAAGCATGAACACATTAAATACAATCCCTAGAAGAAAACATGCCCAGAAATACTCACTGTGTATTAAGTGAAAAAGATTGCACAGTGTGTGTATTACAATTAATTTTCCCTTTATGTAAATATATTAAAAGCCCACATAACAAAGATAAATTTGCTTATCTTAGAATAATATTATTAGAAATAAATGTTATTTATCCTGCTTGTCTATTTCCTTGGTTTTCTCACTTTATAAAGACAAGGTTCAAAATGTACACTGGTGGCACCATTTTCAACCCAGGAACAAAGAAAGAAATGATTTAAAGCTACCAACACACGTCCATGTATCAGTAGGCTGTTAAGCCATATGTTACAGGGCAAATGTGTTGTTTCTAAGGCAGCCAGGAACAATGTAATGGACGACAGAGGATCTGAGACTGTCTCTTACTTCCCCACCAGTGCAACACAGGAAGTCATGATCCAAATGTTTATCTCAATCAATAGCTAATGTCCAATTAAGTTATTTCTTTCGTTAGCCAGTGCTTTCCAATTACTTTTTATCAACCAATTCTAAATAAACAAGATGGCTTGGTTGTCTGGTTAAAATTCAGGAGTGCTGGAGTGAGATCCATTACACATTTTTCAATGGTTGACAGGGCATGAAAGGAATTGACAGATTACCTAAAAATATGCATTTGCACACACAAAGCACATTATTTTTTAAAAGTATTTTTATGTGGCTAAATCAAAATGCTCTGTGCTTCCTTTGAGCAGACAAAACAATTTGTGAAGATGCGCAGTTTATTGCTTCCGTTCCTGCATGACTAAAGATGACAGCTTCTCATATCCACATGTGGAGAAGCTTATTCTCACAGGGAAAAGACTAAGGAACCTCTCACTCTGGAAGGAAAAAAAAGCCTTGCCACAAAATCACTGCAACTGCCACTCCAGCTAACTAAAATATGCCATTGATGATCAGTGTGTGTAACCTTCTCAGTAAATGTTATTGAATAGCCTTTAGCTTCTAGGTTTCATGTATTTTAAAAATTATTTGTATACATGTATATCTGTTTGTGGGTGTGTGCATGTGACTGCAGATGCCCATAGAAGCCAGAGACTTTCAATAGCCAGGGAACTGGAGTTAAAGGGATTTGTGAGCCTCCTGACTCGGGTGCTGGAAACCTCTGCAAGAGGAGCATGCACTTTTAACTACTGAGTCATCTCTCCAGTCCCTAATATTTCTCTTAAAAATAATATTTATTCTATTCTGTAAAACATGCCTAGCTCCTGCAATTCTCCTTTTACTCTCTTAAAAAGAGCAGACTAGCCAGGTGAGCTTGGCGCATGCCTTTAATCCCAGCACTTAGGATGCAGAGGCAGGCAGATCTCCGTGAGTTCGAGGCCAGCTCAGTCAACAGAGTGAGTTCCAGGACAGCCAGAAATACACAGAGAAACCCTGTCTTAAACCTCTCCACCCCACACCAAAAGAGTAGGTTAAACAGTAAAGGCTCCATTGGTGTGAAAAGCTAGGGTAATTAAAGATATTTGCTTGGAGGAAGGGAACATTAGTGACTACTCCAAAATATACAGATATTAATATGTCTGCTGTGATCCTAATGTTTATGCTCACTCACCCCTAATTCATGTTGAAATCCTAACTTGCCAGATGATAGTATCAGGCAGTACGGACTTGACGAGGTGATTCGGCTGTGGGGACATTAACTCCACGAATAGGACCAGTGTTTTGATTAAAATGAGACCCCTTCTGCTCGCCACACAATGAGAAGATGCCATTTGTAAATGAGAAATCGCCAGACACAGAATCTGCCAGTATCTTGGTCTTAGACTCGCCAGCCTTCAGAACCGTGTGAAACAAAATTCTGTTGCATGTAATCCGCTGGCCTTATGGCATTTTGTTGTGTGGACTATGACAGTGCATCACAGTTTATCTTCCCTGAAATCAAGCATGGGAAAAATCACTCTGTGTCAAATCCTGTCTCTCCATAGCAAGGAAAGAAACATATGAGAGGACTATCTAGATCGGCGACACTGAAAAAAATATTGTTGCAGTAATTCCTTAAGTAGTTAATATTAAACAGATATGCCAATCTCAAGTCCCATCATAAAATTATTCAAACAGATACCTCAGTTTCCCAAAGAGTTTTTAATATTCAATTTTAGGATAGAACAGAAACCATATCTTGTATACCCTCCATCTTTCTGGAAAAATCTCAGCTATTGTTCCCCAAATGAGACTTCATATTATGGCTTAAGACATCAAGAGGAGATTTCCCTATAAGCAATGATTAGGGCAGAAAAATGTCAGACAGAAAGGTAGTTTTCCGCTTTGAAAATATCAATTCTGGAAGACAAGATCCTTTCCCCTCCCCTCTTTTTGTTCAGTGATGGGGATCATGCCCAAGGCCTCAAGCATGTTACAAGAACTCTGCTGTAAAAAAAAAATAAGGTAATGAAAAATTTATGACTTTTCATAGTCTCAACGTCATATCATTGTAGAATTTTAAGTATGATGTAATAATTCTGGAGCAAGAAAAAAAATGAATATTTTTGGCTCTGCAAAGGTATAATAACCAAAAGTTTGTAGAATGGATGAAACTGCTAAATCTGTAGCAGATAGAAGCAACGTGATGAACCATGTATGGTAGAGAGACTTGCATTCGTCATTTCAATGTCACTGAACTGGCAATATGGCTCAGCTGGTAAAGGCACTTGCCACCAAGCCTGATGACCTGAGTTAGAAAGTTGTCCTCTGTTCTCTGCACACCTACTATGGTGTGCGCATGCATGCACGCATATAAACAAATACATGCAATCAAAAAAATCACTGTCATATGTGTTCTAGCCATTTGATGCTTAGTGTAACATTAATGGCACAAAGTGTGATGGTCCTGAGAATAGAACATTTTTGGATTAAAAACTATCTTTTGTGTTCTGACCTGTTTTGTCTACATTTTCATATTCTTTTAATGTCTAGACAACTTATCAGCCAAGAAAATAAAGACAATGTGAATATTCTGTTTATATTTTATAATAGTTTAACATTTAAAATTATGATTAAAAATCAAGTAGATTAAGATCAATGTTCTTCTGGTCTCCAAACTCTCCATGCATGGCAGAAGGGTCTAAAATAAAATAAAAGGAATCTCCAACCTCCAGTCTTCTGAGTTTGTTTCTCTATCACTATTGCATGATAAATAGGGAGCACCACTTGGAATATCACATAAAAAATGATGCAGAGACCACATCAGGGAGCATCTGAGAGAGGGGCTTGGCTGACAGGTATACCTGCTATACTGAAAAGGCAAGAAATAAAACCCGGCAAGGATTGTATTTTGGTTCTTCAAAATGCACTTTTTATTCACTTTGACACAGATGATTTTTTAAACAACTGGGACAAAATATCTTATACACGTTTTGAGATGGTTGGCAGCACCTGCCACAAGAGGATTGTGGGACACCTCAGGATAAAGTACAGACGGCTGAGGCAGGTACAAAGACACCTGAAATTCACCAATCCACTGAAGACATGGAACCTGAGGCCCCCTGAAAGCCAATGTGACAAGAAACTAAATATAAATATTTTGTATGGAGTTTTAATGGACTATTGAAAAACAGTATGCTTCCAATTACAAGTACATTATTCCCAAAGTCTAGTGTTCAGTAAAAAACACCTATTGAAAATATTCCACCGCACATTCTACATACAGTCAATTTCAAAACACATATGCACAGTTCCTGGGACCACAGATGTCAGGTTTTGGTGGGTTTTTTTTTTTAATCTTACCCAAACTACATGTCAGTACCCACTGAGTGTTACTCATCAAAATGCCACTGTTTTGTCACTTACTGCTAAGTGCTTGACATTGTGATGTAACTTGGTAGCTAAAAAATAAGGCGTATGTATGGCTACGAAGAAAGGGGCTTCAGCTTACCTGCCAATCAAATTAACACTTGCCTCAATGGACAGGATGCCTATGAATTGAATCCCCGTGTACTTTTAGTTTTACTCAAATGACCACATGCCACTCTACAGAGACAAATAGTTTTCGTGAGCTGATGGAGATCTTCATGAAGGCCTGAGATCTACAAATAGAAACTAGTGTAAGCAGAGTGCAAGAAGAAAGAGAAGGCCCCGGTCTCATGCACTTAAAAACAATTACCATTTGTTAGTTCTGACATACAGAGTTTCACCCTAACGCGATTGTTGCAAAATGACTGGAGAACATTGAAACCAGTGTGGCTAGCTATAGGCATAGGCAGGATAGGGTTGTGGGGGTCCCAGTGTGGCTAGCTATAGGCATAGGCAGGATAAGAGTTGTGGGGGTCCCAGCTCTGGCTTTGACTTCTGGCATCTAAATGAATTGGACAATAGGGTCAGGACTATACAATAATTGGAAATACTGAGTAAGTCTGGGTTGAAATGCTGTCCTCCTCTTGTCTATGTGGCCAAAAAGTACCAGAGTTCTTAAAGCACATAAGGTCCCACATGTAAGGCTGATTCCGTGTGTGGCTACAATGGAGAATTCTGGGCTGTCTTCCTGTGAATGCTCCCACCCCATCCCGGGCCTGAATCTCTTTTGGGGGGGGTCTTTTCTAACTGTCCCTCTCTACAGTGGGTCACAATTTTTATCATACATGTTTAAAGCATAGATTAAAACCTATGCAGCTCAACCCAGAAAAACCAAATGACACACTCATAATACATTAATATATATTAATTATATAATAATATAATTGGCAGTCGTGGTATTCAAAAATTGTCAAACCATTCTTTGACCATTGTGTCTTTGGAATATTTCTATTAGTGGTTGTTGTTAAAGGCTAATCCCAGAATGGCTTGAGGATTTTTATGGCCCTCTCTATAGTCTTAACTATTGTTTTCAGAGAAATCCAAGCAGAACATGGCACTGACGTCGTTTGTAAGTTCAGAACTTAAACCTGGAGGAACCTTATACCAAACATGTAGCCAGTACAGAAATTCTTTTTACAGTATTTTAACAGGTGCTCATCCAGGGACTACTTTTCCTGGGAGGGAGGTCACTATTAAGGCAGTCTATTTCACTTTTGAAGAAATCTAATAATGAGAAATTCATTCTAACCCAATGTTTATAAACCTCTGCTCTGTTGCCAGTTTTAATGTCAGACTTTGGCCAGCTGAATCGTCCGGTGAGACATCAGATCCTTCCCCTACAACGCACAACTGAGCGAAGGAAGTTGGGAGAAAAGCCCATTACTCTCCAATCTTTTCTGGAGCCTTCCTGAGCCAGCATGGTGAACCATAGGATCGTCTAAATTGTAGGCAGAGAGCACTGCACCCAAAGTCACATACTAAGTAGCATCACTAAATTGATAAGCTGTCAAGGAAGCAACATCTCTATGCAGCAGCAGCAGCAGACTTAGGAAGGAAAAGCAGGCCAACCAAGTATTTGCAGAGGGGGTTGGCATAGTTAAGCGTAATCCATTCGCTAGTGTCCTGTGACTCAAACACATGGATTAGAACCAAACTCCAGTGTCATTAGCGCAATGCTTACTGGGATGATTTTGCTTAGGTTCATATGAGAAGAAACCATACGTGAGGATTTGAACATGTCAGTGTGTATTTTTATACATCTACATTTCTAATCATCACCACCTTTTATCTAATTCATGCTTAGAAATCATTGCTTCCATTGTTATTTTTGCTGTAATACAGCTCAGAATCTTATTTTTCCCTTTGGTAGAAATGTCATAAATTGCTTGGCAAGAGTCTGGTGGTGGCATCTGCTAGCTACTTAATGGAACACTTTAAGCTCTTTCACTCCTTCATGCGGCTGGGTTCTAGGTTTAAACTGTGATTTAAAAACATGTAAATCTCTCAGGACTAAAATCAGAAATGTCCTGAGACACACAAGAAGGGGAAAATAGCAGAAATCACGCATAATACACTTGGCTCAATAAAGCTTTTTTTTTAACTGCTCTACAATTTCAATTTGAAAGGTTCTGTTTCAAAAGTAGAACCTTATCTTTTACCCTCACACGCACGCACATGCTTTTGTGTGTGTGTGTGTGTGTGTGTGTGTGTGTGTGTGTGTGTGTGTGTGTGTGTGTGTGAATACCACCAGAGGGCACAGTAGTTCTTACGCTACAGACTAACCAACTTACTGCACACTTTTGAACAGAGTCCCTACATTTAACAGCATGAAGAACTTGCTTTGGAGCTACTGTTCAAATCAACGGTGTGGCCTAGCATGCAATGTTCCAGTTGTTCCTCTACAGCTAAAACCTGCTTAACAGCTTCTTCAAAGGCCACTGTCACATTGGTATCATCTTTGGCACTTGTTTCTAGATAAGGATAATTTCCATTCTCCATGCACCAGGCTTTTGCCTCCTCAGTCGTCACTTGCCTATCCTCTTTGTCTACCTTGTTACCCAGAACCACAAAGGGGAAATGCTCCGGCTCCTTTACATCCGCATAGTAAATGAATTCTTTTTGCCAGTTACCAAGGTTCTCGAAACTCTGCCGGTCATCCACACTGAACGTCAGCAGGCAGCAATCTGCTCCCCGGTAGAATGGTGTTCTAAGGCTCTTGAAACGCTCCTGCCCTGCAGTGTCCCAGATCTGAAGTGTCACAAAGCGTCCATCTACCTCCAGATCTCGATTTAAGAACTCTACCCCAATGGTGTGAAAAGCCTGGGAGTCGAACTTGTTGGTCACATAACGGTTCATAAGTGAGCTTTTCCCAACTCCACCATCACCCAAGAGGATGACCTTTAGGAGAAGGGATTTCCCACTCATTGTTGCAGCACCAAACAGGGAGAAGTTTGCAAACAAAAGAACCTGAAAATACATGAAAGGGTAGGAAGGAAAATAGTTAAACCTGAGACAAATCTACCTCATAGAAATTTCCCCTGAATTATAAGGCCCCTGATAATGATCTTACATGATCACTACTAAATTTAAAAAAGGGAAAGGAAGAAACCTCTGTTGATAAAATAGGGAAACCTGGCCTAATTTTTTGAGGCTTCTTACCTGGGCAAGGGATGGCTGAAAGCCATGAGTAAGCCAACTCATAGATGGCTCCATAATTTGTTCAGGTGTGACACTGTTCTAGGGGAGAGAACCTAGGACAGGTGTGCCACTCAAACGCGTGAGCATATTAGCTTCTAAACGAGATACAAATGCAAAACTTATTTGAGGTTTTAATGTTTGCTTCTTGGGGACCTAACTGTAATTGGAAGGTATATAAGCTGTATTCTTGATTCTCTCAGTCAAGACCTGGGTAGCAATTAGACTGGACCCATATTCTTGGAAAAGAGAAAAAAATCAACTTTCTCTAAGTATTTCCTCCCATTATACTTGCATTGAGATGGATACTCTAATATTTCATATTTTTTCTTCATGGTACAATGACACTTAAGTTTATGACAGTTGACTAGTATCAATGTAACAGGTATTATCCGAAAGAGCACCTTATGGTATTCTTGAATTTAGTTTTTATTATCACAAAACCAATATATGAAAAATTATGATAAAATCTAAAGCACCAATAATCATCATGTAGCATTTTTCTTTTACCTACATAAAATATTTATACATGGGCAACTTAGAATACATGTTAAAATAAAATATTCTGTTAGGTATTGTCACATTGGGTCTATGCTGGAAACTCAACAATGCTGATATTAATTGGGTAAAGTAATATTTATTATGCAAGAGCCTCAAAAGAAGGAAACCTAAATACTGATCAAAGAAGTGCATGCAAAAGAAATTCTAACAGCAATACACTTAAAAGGTCATTCAAAACCGTAATAGTCCTTAACATTATTTTGGAATTATTTTTAAAATTATAGTCACTTTAACAGAAGAAAATGTAAAATATCAAAATTCATAGCGTGAGCTCATGAAATACTTACCCAGCTGGGTTTTTCACAATTTCAGCCTTCTCCTTTGTCCTTCTTGTTGATTTATTCTTTTATTAGGGTTCTAAAATCAGAACGGGGAGCAAATTTTTAATAATATATAATGAAATGGAAATGAGTCTATAGAAAAAAATATATTCAATTCAGGGAGAAATCCCATAGCAATCTCAAGTAACCTGTGGGGAATCCTCACAAACACACTTAAAAGTTCAAACTGTTACAGGTGTTTAACATGATCATTATCTAAATGTGTAACTTCAATTTACCCTAATCTGACTGTACTCTGTGTGGTTTTTTTTTTTTTTTTAAAAAAAAAAACTGTTTTGTGTTGTCTTTCGGCTGAATGCTCTATTCAATGTAAAAGTAAATAAAAGCAAATAGGTGATATTCCAAGAAGTAAAATTTGGTAGCGTGAAAGCAGAGAAGTTTAAGATAAATCAGAGGCGACTTTCCTTCCCTTTATACCTACCAATAGTCCCACTTCAAAAACCACCAGTGCACCCACCCATCTGCCTTGAGGCAGCCTGCAATTGATTCTCATAATCAGAGGAGAAACCATTAATATGTTTATGGACTTATACTTTCTTAGCTAATTATTTGATTCATAGTTGATGGTATCGGTCTTGAAACCAAGGTTTTGGTTGGTTGGTTTGGAGACAAGTTCTCTCTATATAGCCCAAGATGGTCTGGAGCTCACAATGTAGCTTGAGATGGCCTGATTCTTCTGCCTCAATACTCCTGAGTGATGAGATTACAGGTATTCACAATCATGCCTTACTTGAACACAGGTTTTAATATTTAGCTGTCCTTACTACAAACACATTCGCTTAATATTAATAGTTAATTTGGCATATATTTATGAAGCAAAAACTAAAATAGCGGTCCAAAAAGACAAATAATTCCTATGCTTGTTAAGTATGTTTGTTGAGGGATAAAGAAGCTGTTTAAAAAAACAGCTCAGTTGTTTAATTATCTTATGTTGTTTTGCAAAGCTAATCAGGTATTTGTTGACTATCTAAATCAGTAGCTAAAATGGAAGCCTCATCTCCTAAATTGCTAAGCTTTATCCTCCTTCTTAGGCTAAATCTACTCTGTAGAATCTTAAATTTTCTACCATTTCTGTTTGCTTGATTTTTGTCCACACTTTTCTGCTTTCAAATTTCTGTCTTTTTGGAACTATAGCTCACGTGACAAATATTTCTTGAAATTATGGTGAACCAGATTTGTTAGCACAGTTTTTTATTCTCCTTTTTGTTTGGCTTTGCTTTTGATAAGCTGGAGAAGGCCAAAGGACCTCAGTGGGCTAGGAAAGTCTTCTACCACTGATCTATGGTAACACTTCATACTTTATTTTTAATGTTAGTCTGCAATATAATTTCACAGTTCAAAACTCTTCAACTCTCATTTTTAAAAGCAACATAAGGAATTAAAAATTTGCATAAACTATACATGACTGTTATAAATGGTAGATACCAAACAAATTTCCTTAAGTATCTAGAAAACAGATGTTAACGCCATTATAACTCACTAACTCATTTTCCTAGCTGTGGATAAACTCTTTAGATAGGCCAAAACCACAGTGAATATGGAAACTAAACGCCCAGCTCCAGGAATAATGATGAGTATTAATGACAATCTGAGAATTCTCTAGTTCGTAATGTGCACACATAGTTCTAGGTACATAAACTATATGGTATGGGGAAAAGAGGCAAAATAAGGTCCTCCTTGCTGTTATACCATTCCTTTGTTTTATGGAGTTATTAGTTCCTCCTTGTTCTTTAGCGTGTAACAATGCCTGGTGAACATCTGCATGTTGCATAGAGTCTCTGTGTTTAAGGGGTCTTCAGGATCTTCTGGTATAACCCTTCTACTGATGTTTGAGAAAGAATTGAGTACCTACCATGTGCTGTACCATTACCAAGGGGATATTCTACACCAGTGATTATCAACCTTCCTAATGCTGCAACCTTTGAATATAGTTCCTCACGTTGGGGTGACCCCTCCAATGCCCAATTGTTTTTTTTTATTTGCCCAATTGTTTGGTTGCTACTTCATAACTGTAATTTTGCTACTATTTAAATCGTAATGTAAATACCTGATATATGCTATATGACCCCTTGAAAGGATCATTTGACACCCCAAAGGGGTTACAACCCACAGGTTGAGAACTGCCACTCCACAGCTCCACATTCTCCCCCATTTTCAATGCCCATTTATTTGCTAAAGATAGAAAAAGACACAGTTTAGGCGGGTTTTCTTGCCCTTAGTCATGATATCCTGCTGACTTGGCTTCAAACGCCCATTCCGACTCCTCTACTTCTAACTCCATGTTAAAAATTAGAATCCTGCTGTGTTGCCCAGGCTGGCGACAGGATCGGGGTCTTAGACAATTTGGTAGACTATTTGAATGCACTGAGTTTGACCCTCCACACCATATAAAACCAGGCATGGTGACAGATATGTATAACTATAGCACTCAGGAAGTGGATGCAGGAAGATCAGAAGTTCAAGATCATACTCAGCTACCAGAGTTCAAGTCCATTCAGGGACAATAGGACTTGCAGAGAGGAGTGAATGCTTGACAGGTATAGAAAAGAGATAAGGGTGTGCTGGATGTGAGAAAAATCAGAATGCATTCTAGAGCTGTAGAAATAGTCAATGATCAAATTTAATAAAAATTATTTGGGAATTTTGAAAAGGAAAATAAAATATTTTCCACTAGTCCTTTACAGTAAAAAAAAAAAAAACAGAATATGAAAGTCCCCAGCACACAGAAACGGTTAATATTTAAGGAAATGGAAGCAATTATAACCCTTCAATCATTACATATTATATATTTGTATAAAATGATCATATTATGCCCCCAAAATAGTCCACCTTTTATGTCTCGATAAAACAAGTTATTATTTGCAGTTGATATTATCACACTGCTTGATGTTGTTAACGGACTTCTTTAAAAAAAATGTCTTTCCTTCACAACTGATTTAAAGGTCCTCTGCTTGTGTGTATTTTTGAAGCCTCTTCAGTATGTGGTCCCAGAATACATCATAGAAATAAGCAATAAATATTTATGATTTAACATATTAGGTAGGTACCCAGAACTAATGCCTTGGAATTTATGACAACAATCCATCCACGATCCTGTAGGACATCCAAAGGTTATCACATACAATGTAACTAAAAATACAAATTATGAATTTATCTGGATTCCTTTCTAGACAGGACTTAACAAATTCCACCTGTTGAAAGTCCATGGAAGCTTTCCATTTCCCTATTGCTACACTCACATCTTAAAATATATATTTCCTACATTATCTCTATTCCTACCAAAACAAGAGGAGAATAATGATATCCACTTTGTTTTCAGTGGATGCTGTCATCCCTGTTATTATGTTTGAAGGTGAGGATAATTTATGTTAGTGCATATTCAAATTGAAAAGAGCCATGACAGTATAAAAATCAATTAAATCAAATCCCCTCCCCCAGGAAAAGCCAAATTTGGCCAAACATAGAAAGGAGAAAGCATTAAGCAAAGAGAGGACTTCTTGATAACAACAAATATATCTAACGTGAAGGTGAAATTCAGTGTGGTTCCCATATTATGCTAGATCTGAACCGAATATTCATTTTTCTTTTCTTTCTTTTTATTTTTTTAATCCCTGGGAATCAAACCTAGGGCACTGTGCCTTAAACACTAATCTACACCTCCAGTCCTTGGACCGTAATATTTATTCTAATTTTGGTTCCATTCAGAGAAATAGCTGGCTTTGACTTAAATGTTGTCTTGAATAACAAGATGAATCAGGAATTCATATAACCAGTATTCTTAGCTCCCTATTCTTCAGTGTAGTTGAGATCTTTTGAATCAGCTATGTTTGCACCCACACAGCCTTCTTAAGATTACGGTATTTAGTTGGGGGTGCTTGAGATTGGGAGCAGAGAGAATAAAGCAAGGAAAGGTTGAATCTTCTAAAATAACGCATTTTATTATGATGATGGCAGCGCCAGCTCATTTTCCATGGGGTAGAAAGACGCTCACAATCAGTAGCGCAGGTTGTTTAGGAGCAAGTCTTGACAGGGGTGTGTACTGCAGGGCTTGGTGGGGGAAGAAGGGGGGGGCAGATAATGGCTGAGAGTGGTCTTCACGGGGGAGGGAACATGCTTGGAGCTATGAGGAAAGCCCATCTTGTGGAGACATGCTGATTAGGGCTATTCAGTTGGCTGTTGAATCCTGAAATATTATTCAGAAATACTGCACCAGAGAAATGGGTGTGGCTTTTTTTAATGTATGTGAAAATCAACACAAGAAAGAAATGATTGATCTTTGAGACCCTCTAATTTAAATGGTGTAGGTTGGTTGCTTCCCATACAACCTGATGCTGAAAAGGGGGCTTGTTTTACGGCGGGGAAGCCCTGTGACGCACTCAATTTACTTTGCAGAGTTCAGTTATCAGCTACACCCATGCTACAAAGTCTAGATGCCATAGCTGTCTGCCACCGAAATGCTATTCCTAACTTCATGCTGGCATTTACATCATATATGCAGCCAAGTGTTCAGCGTGGAAATGCATGTCTAATCTTTCATTCCTCATAACAGTTCTGGGCCAATAAGCCCAAAGACATACTTGATAGGAACTTGGCACTGTCCCCAGGCCACGTCTTCCTTAATAGGGTGCCTGGAAGTAAAGGTTTTCAGGACACTAATAAAAGGTCCTTAGGAGACCAGGAATGCTGGCATAGCCACAAGGGAAACACTGCTTCAGTATTGGGAACTTAGAAAGTGAAACGTCACGCATAGTCCCAACTACCTCAGACCCAGGTCCTCTCACCTCATCCCCAGCTCCTAGAGCTAGTGGACTGTGGCGCATGCGCAGTGAACCACACCCGCTCCCAACGGAGCCCTGCGCCTCTCTGCCCCGCTCTGGTAGCCACTCCAGATTACTCAGCAACGCCCCCCTCCACCGTCCCCTACCTCCGACTACAATCTCGGCAGCTTCTAGGCCCCTTGACTGAGGGGCCAGTGGCCCCGGCGATGACCTAAGTTGCCCTTTCTCCCTCTTCCCCACAGGCCCCCCACCTCCTGGCCTCCCGGGTCCAGCAGCCCTCGCCCCCTCTTCCTATCCCCATGCAGACACCTTACCCAACACAATGGGAAGGAGAAAGGACAGGGCTACCGATGCCGGGCAGTTCAGTTCTGCGCGCCTCTAGCCTGGCTCCTCAGCGACCAGGTCACAGCTCGCGCTGTCGCCTCGTCCTCAATGGGGCAGCAAGTGCAGCTTGGACCTCGGTGGCCTGACAGCTGCCGCTCGCTCCCGCCGCTGCCGCCGCGCAGCGTCTTCTCGCGCCCGCGCCCGCCAGGGGAGGGGGCGGGGCCCGCGCCGCCTCCCCGTGCCCCCTTCTTGACGCTGGGGACCCACTGTAGCCGCCTCCTGTAGGCTCTTGTGGAGAGTGTTCCCTGGCTGTCTTGCACTTCCTTCTCTTCCTTCATGCTCAGTTATCCAACCCGGATCTCCCTCATCTTTCTTCCCCTCCCAGCTGATTAGAAGCCACGGTGACAATGGACCATCAAATAACTACTCTCGCAGCTTAGCATCTCTTTTGCCTAGGGCCTAAAGTCTCAGGCAGAGCTAGCTATAGCCTCATTTCCTGCATGACTCTTCTATTTCCCTCACTTACCAAAGGAACACACCGTTAACAAACGGTGTTCTTTTTGTATCTGCGTGTTCTATTTTGTTTTCGTGCCTAGAGGTTAGTACATATACCTTGCTTCAAATAGTTCAGGAAAACACATGAAAACAACACTTTAGTAGGCCCTGTTGGTACCTATTGCTCAAGAAATTCCTATGACGCTTCAAAAGAAAAGCATGATATCTGTAACTCGGTCACAGAAAAGACATAGCCCTTTACGCCTCGTTATCAATTACTGTTCCAGAGAATCACAGACAGCAGTACTCGAGGTTCCAGGAACTATTACAAGGGTAGAATTCAATGTTCTAAATAATCCCAGCCACCCTATAGGCCCTCCTGATTTCCTGTGGCCCTCTGATATCTTTGGCTAGTTTATGATTAACCCACCTCTCTTCGGCCTCAAAAACCAAAGGAAGGCAAAACTATTCAAGTAATTTACCCTGCGTTCCATCTATTTTTCAGTTATATTCATGTCTTAAGCGTCACTGCCTTCTGAACACCCATTCGTCCAGAAATGGTATGGCACTGCCCTCTCCCACCGTGTGTTCCTCACACGCACCATCTCTCCATCCCACCGTGTGTTTCCCACACGCACCATCTCTCCATTCCACCGTGTGTTTCCCACAAGCACCATCTCTCTATCCCACCGTGTGTTCCTCACACGCACCATCTCTCCATCCCACCGTGTGTTTCCCACACGCACCATCTCTCCATTCCACCGTGTGTTTCCCACAAGCACCATCTCTCTATCCCACCGTGTGTTCCTCACACGCACCATCCCTCCATCCCACTATATGCTCCTCACAAGCACATCTCTCCATCCCACTATATGCTCCTCACACGCACCATCTCTCCATCCCACCGTATGCTCCTCACACGCACCATCTCTCCATCCCACCGTATGCTCCTCACACGCACATCTCTCCATCCCACCGTATGCTCCTCACACGCACATCTCTCCATCCCACCGTGTGTTCCTCACACGCACCATCTCTCCATCCCACCGTGTGTTCCTCACACGCACCATCTCTCCATCTATGCCACTGTCTCCCTATCTCTTCACAAGGCACAACAATCAGTCTCATCAAGACTCTGCTTAAATGCAATTTCGAAGAATAGCCTTTCTTTGAAGGCTTTCTCCACAAGCCCATAATGAAGACAGTGCCTCAATTCACCTCTTATAACCTCTTGTAGCTTGCTGTACTTTTATTTCACATCACAATCATATAATGTGACTTACATGGTTTACAACTGTCTCCTCCACTAAACTATATTGCACTATGGGTTCAGATACTGTGATTAAGTTCACAACTATATCCCTTAAAGCGAGATGCATATTACACACTAAGAAACTATTTATTAAATATGAATGAATGAATGATGTATCATCAATAAACGCTGATATTTTAAAATAAATGGATCTAATAGAATCCCTTGTATGGTTTAAACCCACCTCACTTCTCACAAAAGCACACTACTCTTGGGATGGAAAAAAGTACATACCATCCTCTAAAGTAATTTTTACTGATTCTAATCTTCAAAAAGGAAATTACTGAAAAAAATACTTCTACAGCTTGAGTATGGTTCATCCTTCAGTGGTTCATGTGTTGAAATTTGGTCCTCAGTATTAGGGCAAGCCGGGCGGTGGTGGCACACGCCTTTAATCCCAGCACTCAGTATTAGGGTAGTAGGACCTTTAAGAGGTAGAGACTGGTAGAATGTCATTAGGTTCCAAGAATGGACCCCTCAGGAATGGATTAATGATGATCTCACAAACTGGACTGGGTCTCTCAGGAGTGATGCTACAAAGTAAGGGCACGCCATGGACTTGTCTCTGATAGGTCATTTTTTGCTTCTTCATCCAGAGACCTCTCATCAAGATACAGGTGGCATTCAATTTCTCTATAATGGTTGATCAAAACAAGCATCTTCACAAGTTTCACAGCCTCAGATATTTTGGTATAGGGGTACAAAATGGATTAAGGTCTAAATATTTGTACATAAATATTTAATCTGTATATGTGTGATATTTGTAGATATATACTTTATGTTTACTATGTGTTATTTTATATATACATTATAAAACACACACACTAAAAACACTCAAACACAGAAATTGTTAAAGAAAGGAAAAGTAAATATTTTGATGTTACAATGTTTATTTTCTGAACTATAATGAAATAGTTTCATGAAGAGCTCTAAATAAATGTCCTTATTAGAGTTTCTTCTTCAGGCATAATAACCTAGACTCCTTTGTTCTTTTCCCAGAAATGTTGTTTTCTGACAGTTTCTAACAGTCTTTAAGAATCTTTCGAACCTACATATAATTGTTAAAGGCTTTTAAAAAAAATTCTAGCCTTAGATACCTAGTTCTGTAGTCAGGATCTCATGACTGCTAAAGACATTACACCGGTGGAAAGCCTAAGGGAGAGCAAGCCCTGATGTTAATCCAGAGACTCCTAAATACAAATTCTATATTTAAAAACATTTATATAGATCTTATAAGAAACAAAGAAGTAAATTTTCTTAACACTGAACTATGCAAGGAATTCTTAGCTATGGTACCAATGATAAGAGATAGTGACTCCTTCAAACTGAAGATAACCTTTATGCTTCCAAAGGCTCATCAAAGCTCCCTCTGAAATAGCAACCTCCACAATACAGAGACTGATTTGTACAGCATCACCAACAAAAGGCTTAAGGCCTGGGCTTGCTGACTACTTTGTATCATGTAACACTGCTTCAATTTTCATATTTGTAAATGTGGGAAATAGTAAGACTGTGATAATCATATGGACTTCTCCACATACGCAGAAGCATCTTGGACTTGAGTCCAAAGCATCTGGGACTTGAGTCCAAGGAATCAAGAAATGTTAGTACTACTAACATCATGGAAATATGTCTTGGACATTAAATTTGCTATGCTTTGGGAAAAAATAAGACACTGTCAAGGGGCTGGGGTGATAAAGTTGATGGCACAAAAGGGCACAAAAGCACGAGTGGCTAGAATCAGATTCCCAGAACCCATGTAAAATGCAAGGCATAGACCATGGCAGTGTGCATCTGTAACCCCAGCAGTGGAAGTCAGAAACAAGCAGCTCCCTGAACTTCATTGACTAGTGCACCCAGCCAAACTGTTAACTCCAGGCTTAGTGAGAGACCCTGTCTCAAAAAGTAGTGTGTAAAGCAACCAAGAAAGATACTTGAGTTCAACCTCTGGCCCTGACACACATATGTGCACACACTCACATTAACAGAGAACTGCACACACACACACACACACACACACACTAATAATAATAATAATAATAATAATAATAATAAATCTTTTAAAGTTTACTTCTTTCTCTTATTTTTATTTTTAAAAAGAAAATAAACATCTTTTTTTTATTTTACATACCAATCCCAGTTCCCACTCCCTCTCCTCCTCCTACCCCACCCCCATCCAATCCTCAGAGAGGGTAAGGCACATTGCTTCGGGGAAGGTTCAAGGCTCTCTCCATTATATCTAGGCTGAGCAAAGTATCCATCCAAAGAGAATGGGTTCCCCCCCCCCAAAAAAAAACAGTACAAGCAGTAGGGATAAATTCTGGTGCCACTGCCAGTGACCCTGCAGTTTGTTCCAGTCATGCGACTGTCACCACATTTAGAGGGACCAGTTTGGTCCTATGCTGGTTCATTTTCTATTTGGCTGGAATAGTGAGCTCTCGTTAGCTCAGGTAAACTGTTTCAGTGGGTGTCCCCCTCATGGTCTTGACCTCTTTGCTCATATTCTCACTCCTCCCACTCTTCAACTGGACTTTGGGAGCTCAGCCCAGTGCTCCACTGTGGGTCTCTGCCTCTGTTTCCATCAGTTGCTGAATGAAGGGTCTATGGTGACATTTAAGATAGTCATCAATCTGACTACAGGGTAAGGCCAGTTCGGACACCCTCCCCTTTATTGCTTAGGGTCTAGCTGGGGTCATCCTTGTAGACTCCTGAAAATTACTCTAGTGACAGATTTCTTGCTAGCCTCAAACAAAATATCTCTTTTCTAGTTCTCCATCTCTGTCCTTCCTCCATCTCAACTATCCTGTTCCCTCAAGTTCTTCTCCCTTCTCCCCTCCTCCTCTCTTTCCATTCCCATGCTTCCAATTGTGTCAGGAGATCTTGTCTATTTCCCCTTCATGGAACTTGCTGAGCATGGTAGCCCATGTCTTTAATCCCAGTATTTGGGAGGCAGGAACAGATGTACCTCTATGAGTCAGAGGCCAGCCTGGCACATGTACATAATTCAGGCAAGCCACAGTTACATAGGGAGGCCATGTCTCAAAATAAATAAACAAAAGAACCTGAGGTTTAACTAAATAAATAAATAAGAACAAGTTGGTGAGTTGGGCAGTGATGACACACACCTTTAATCCCAGCACTCGGGAGGCAGAGACAGGTGGATCTCCATGAGTTCAAAGCCAGCCTGGTCTACAAGAGCTAGTTCCAGAACAGGTTCCAGGCTCAAAAGCTACAGAGAAACTCTGACTTGAGAAAATAAAACAAAAAAAGCAAATAAACTGAGTATACTTTTTTTCCAAAAGCTGTACAACAAATTAAATTCACGATAAGATACCATACCACACCTTTTAGAACAGCTGTAATTAAAATGTCATGTCAGGGCCATGAAGAGGTGGCTTAGTAGAA